GGTCAGAAAACAGGGTCTTGCTGGGATCCAGGTACATAGAGGAAATAGTTACCACTGTGAGTTTGAATACTAAAAGTGAAAAAAGTCAAAATTATTGTCTGTATTTGTTCATTTATATTATTGTTAAATTAGACTTTTGTCTTCTAATGGATGTTCAATGTTTCATTCACATACATTAATTTGAAACATTTTGTAAAGTTTAAGGACACATAAAAGTCACTCATAATCCTACCATTTAATGGGGAACAAATGAAAGTTTTTGACACATTTTCATGCATTTTTCTATACATTTTGTTTAAATTACTTGATAATGACAGGCAGAAATTTTCTAGAATTCTTATTTTACTTACATTACAGTAATATATAATCTTTGATAATCATATGCACTATACTATATGCATCACTTAACTCTTTAATTGATGGCACGCATTTGAAATTCTCCACCCATGATATAATTGTGAATTTGTAAATATTATTTCAGTCATAACAATACATTAACATAATGACATTTGTAGTATAAGTTAACTCATAATGTTACCTACTTAGTAATTGAAAAAGAGTGTGAATATTTGTTTTATGGAGTTATTATACGATATTATATAAATAATCTTAAAATTTAAAATGAAGACTCTCTCTTTAGCAAGACTAGCCATCAGATGCAATGAAACCTGTCTGTTCATGGCTGCAGGAAGATGGAGGATATGTGTAATAGAGGTTAGCTACTTAGAAATCAGTGAGAACAGTACTGATGTATGCCTGTCATTTGAATTGAAGGGAATGGCGTATGGACACTTATGAAACTTTCTATTCTTAAAGAAAAGTTCTCAGACGTCTTCAAACTTCCTCTCACAAGATATTCTTTGAAAGACTAATTCTCCAAACAGGAATTTCTGAGCTTAAACTTACCAAACACTCCCATCCCCACGGAGCAATTTCCACTTGTGCAAAATGGCAGAAAATGTCACATTTGAGAACTATTCACAAAAACCAGTTTCACTCTAAAGAGGCTATCTTTGAAAGAAAGTCATATACACAAAGGCCTGAAGGAGTCTAAAATGAGATTGAAAACCAATGCCCTTGAACTGTATGAGACCTTTTCTCTTTGGCGATCTTTGCTTTTCTACATCACTCTTGTTTTGATTTTGCTAGATGTTATTTCCTAAGTCCTTCTACCTTCATGTTTCTAAACCTTGATCCCTTCATAACTCATCTCAATCTGTGATGAGTCTGTTTACTCTGATAATCCATGAGGGACAGCTGTTTATTTTGAATCCTTATCTAGGCAACTATTAGCATTCTTTCACCAATTCGGAAACCTGTTTTGCTGAATATTGTTGAATCAGTGACAAATGAGCCAAGAAATACTCCTAAGGCAAATTTTCCTCCATTAACATATATGAAAGAGGAACTGCATCTCTTTGAAAGCATCAGCAGATCTGAGTGGAAATAAAGGGAGCACAAATGTAGCAAATATGATAACTTGTACATGGAAATGGAAACCTACAGATCAGCTGTGGCATGATATCCACAGTCTGGTTCTTGTCTGGTGTGCAAAAGACTAAATATTAAAATGTGCATTACACTTCAGCCAGGGAGTTTTTTTAACCTTCATGCAAGTAATACTGAAAATCAAAGTTTGTGCACTTAAACAAGCTACTAGTTTAAATATGTATACATTAACAAGCAAGTTTGTGAGAAACTAAATAGCCCTACTAATTACTTGCTTACAATGAATTCTTCTTATTTAAAAGTCATAAAATAAAATATAAACAAAATTTGTTTAAGAATGTAATTTGTTGCAAAAATTAGTTTGAACAAGAAGTTTACATTGAATTAATTGTAAAAACCTAAAAATAGTGAATGGTCAAAATCAGGACAATTCCCTCAGACCCCAAAGTGTGCACACAAATGAACTGATATTACTTGATGTTGAATGACATTTTCAATTATCAATGTATGCTTACTCATATAACATATTATTTTAGATCATCAAGCTGGAAGCCTTTAAAAATTGGATTTAATACCACCTAAGCAAAAGGATAGATGAACTTGCCCTTGAAAATGAGGACAAGCAGGCAAAAAGCACAGTGTTCCTTCCATGTTCTTTTAGATGGGCTGCCACCAGAAGGTGTGAACTAGAATTATGCTTGGTCTTTTTTTTTTTTTTAATTTTAATTTTTTTAATTATTTATTAAAGATTTCTGCTTCCTCCTGGCCACCGCCTCCCATTTTCCTCCCCCTCGCCCAGTCAAGTCCTCCTCTTTCTTCAGCCCAAAGAGCAATCAGGGTTCCCTGCCCTGTGGGAAGTCCAAGGACCACCCACCTCCATCCAGGTCTAGTAAGGTGAGCATCCAAACTGCCTAGGCTCCCACAAAGCCACTACGTGCAGTAGGATCAAAAACCCATTGTCATTGTTCTTGAGTTCTCAGTAGTCCTCATTGTCCGCCATGTTCAGCGAGACCGGTTTTAACCCAGGCTTTTTCAGACCCTGGCCAGCTGGCCTTGGTGAATTCCCAATAGAACATCTCCATTGTCTCAGTGTGTGGGTGCACCCCTCGCGGTCCTGAGTTCCTTGCTCGTGCTCTCTCTCCATCTGCTCCTGATTTGGACCAAGCATATGCTTGGTCTTCTTGAGTTCAAAAATTGGAAATCCCTCAAAGAAGTGTTCAGAAACTTGGGCTTTAGTTGATTCCAGACTTTGTTGAAGACTAAATCTAATTAATCTTTGTCAATAAAAATCATGAGTCAGTGAAATGTATTTCTTCATTCTTTGATTAACTTTAGTTTGGTCTATTTTGTTGGCTATTAGGACAGTTACACCAGCTTGTTTATTAGGTCCATTTGATTAGAAAATGTTTTTCAAGCCGGGCGGTGGTGGCGCATGCCTTTAATCCCAGCACTCGGGAGGCAGAGGCAGGCAGATCTCTGTGAGTTCGAGGCCAGCTTGGTCTACAAGAGCTAGTTCCAGGACAGGAACCAAAAGCTATGGAGAAACCCTGTCTCGAAAAATCCAAAAAAAAAAAAAAATGTTTTTCAAATCTTTATGCTGACATAATGTCTGTCTTTGAATTTGAGGTGTGTTTCTTATATGTAGCAGAAGGATGGATCCTGTTTTCATCGCCATTCTGTTAGTCTGTGTCTTTTTATAGGTGAATTCAGATCATTGATATTAAGAGATATCAATGACAAGTAATTGTTAGTACCTGCTAGTTTTGGAATTGTTGGTGGTAGTGGTAGTGTGTGTGTGTTTTCTTTCTTGGGTTTTGCTGGTGTGAGATTACCCATTGCCTGTGTTTTTGTGGGTGTAGCTAGTTTCCTTGGTTGGAATTTTCCTTCTAGTACTTTCTGTAGGGCTGTATTTGTGGATAGGTACTGTTTAAATATGCTTTTGTGATGGGATATCTTTTTTTTTTCTGTCTGTGATGATTAAAGCTTTACTAGGTATAGCAGCCTGGGCTGACATCCATGGCCTTTAGTATCTGTAGAATATCTATCCAAAACCTTGTGGTTTTCAGAGTTTACATTTAGAAGTCAAGTGCAATTCTAATAGGTCTGCCTTTATATGTTACTTGGAATTTTTTCCTTTGCAGCTCTTTCTTTATTTCTTTTTTTGAGAACTACTGGTTTTATTGAGCTTATTTATAGGAATTTGGGTGATAGGCTTTATAAACCACAATATAATTATATACCACAATATAATTATAAACCACAATAAAAGTCAGCATGGAAGGATAAAATTATGGGTGAAGTTGTGGTACAGGTATCTTGGCAGTAACCAACAGCTTCTTTTCTTCTTTTTATTAAGAATTTTTTAATATAATATTTTCTCATTTTACATAGCTTTCCCCATTCCCACTCCCTCCCCTCCTCCTGCTTCCTCCACCTTTCCCCATCCAACCTCCTCAACCATTCCTCAGAAAGGCTTCCTTCCCATGGGGAGTCAACAAAAGCAGACACTTCTTAGAGTTTCAAACAAGGGTATTGAGCATAGAAATAATTAGCAAAATATAACTTTTATTTTACTCTCCCTATATTCCCCATCTTCTTGTAAAGGTAACTAATGCAAAAGATAATATCTGCATATTATTTTCTCATTGTAACTCTTCCTTTACAATGATTGGAAAGTTTGGTTGTATTTTTTTTGTGTTGATTGACAGCTGATCCCTAAGACTGTGTATTCTGCCACACCTTCATAACAATCCCATTTCATATACACTATATTCAGGGATTGCAATAGATATTTTGATTTCTCTGCAGTTTTGTATGCATCATTTTATTCTCATAAAAGGCCCGACTTATTAAGAAGTTATGTCTACTATCTCAAACCACAGTGAAGAAGAAATACGTCATGGAATTCATTTTAATGAGCCCCATGATCAAATGGATCAGCCTTTGCTACATACATTATCATCTAGAGTTGGAAGGGTATAATTTTGTTGCAGTATAAAAGCATTCTCTACCATATCATAAATATCTTGTAGTAACTCTAACCAAAAAAGTGAAAGATCTATATGACAAGAATTTTAAGCTTTTTAGGAAAGAAATAGAATAAGATATCAGAAAATGGAAAGATCTCCAATGCTACAGAATAGGTAGGATTAACATAGTAAAAATGGCAATCTTACTAAAAGCAATCTACAGATTAAATGCAATACCTATCAAAATGACAGCACAATTCTTCACATACCTTGAAAGAACAATACTAAACTTCATATGGAAAAAAATCTTGGATAGGCCAAACAATCCTGTACAATAAAGGAACTTCTGGAGGCATTGCTATCAGTGACTTAAAGCTCTACTATAGAGCTATAGTAATGAAAACAATTTGGTATTGGCACAAAAACTGGCAGGTGGGCCAATTGAACCAAATTTAAGACCCTGATATTAATCCACATACCTATGAACACCTGAATTTTGACAAAAAATAAAATTATATGATGTAAAAAAGAAAATGTCTTCAAAAATGCTGTTGGCAAGTAAAGAATGAGCAGAAATGGCTTTTAAGCATAAACCACCCTGTCATCTAACGTCAAAGCTCCACCTCTCAGTTTCCTCCCGCTCTCAGTAGTCTTCTATCCTAGCAAAGCTGTGGTCTACAGATGACATGGACATTTCACATTGGTACAAGGAAGGAATGTTGGCTTGATGCAGTCTCTATAGTAAGAAGAAGTACCTTGTTCTATGTGCAGCTGCCATGCTTTCAGACATGTTTCTGACTTTTAGGTAATTAACAAACCCTCTGAAGAAAAGGAGGAGGCCAAGTACAAGAAATATCCACCAAAGCCAATACTGTCCATTGAAATAACCAGAAAACCTAACAATAAGGATCCATTTGATCAGAGAAAGGCCAAATCCACAGATAGCACCATACCTTCCAGCTATGGTGTTGGTGATACAGAAGGATAAGCAGAATCCAAGCCAGTTGAAGATGAATGCCGTGAAAAATGCCAGCATGAAAATGCCATCATTGCCTACTCTAAGCTGGTCTACATCACTGAAGTCATCTCTTGGTGTACATTCTTCCTCCTGGTTTCTTTGAGGTGCTTCCGCTGCTGCAGCTGCCATGGCAGCAGCTTTAGCCTTTTCAGCTTCATCGTATGTGGGAAGAGAGGTAGCAACGCTGTACGGAGGTGGCACGGGGTAAAACTCACTGTAAACTTCAGTATCTGAAGTGGTCGGTACTTCCCCGGTAATACTGCTGTATGGTGGAGGCGAAGACTTGGTCTGTACTTCATTTATTTTGCACACTTGCATATGTGCCTATTTAAAGATACGCACATACTTGAAAGTCCACAAAGTTGTTGCAAAGTCCAGGCATACTTGGTTAATCGGTGTTTGATAAAATTGGAAGAGTTGAGTGGTAAACACTTCCAGCATGTAAATGCTTCTGACTTGACTGTTAGCGTAATAAAAATTACATTATTAATCTTGTCAAATGCTTTAGTTTCTGGCTTAGATTCATCTGATAATTCCAAACATGAAATATTCTTTGCTATAGATGATGTTTATTAAAACTTGCAGTGTGATTATTAGAAAAGATTTGTCAGATTTTTGAGTATGATATTATTTAGGAAAACTGTAAATAATCATACATAAGTTGCTTTTTACATTCTTTTCTTAGAATTATGTCTAGGTTTCTTTTCATTAATTTTAAATTAAGTAAACTAAATATACAGAAATAAACTTTCTTAAAGATAGAATGGTTTCTAAAGATAGATGAATGCTAAGAAGATGTGAGTATACCAAACACCCTTTAAAGAAAAAGAAGCTAAGAGGCAATACTAGTTTTAGGGATTTTCAAACAAGAGGCTTAGATTTGAGGATTACTCACCTTAGCAATTCTTACAAGAAGAGATTGAATTAGATCTTATATTTATTTACATCTAAGACAATTTTAAAAATTGATTTATCAAATATATTCTCATTTGCATTTGTCATTTAAAAAGTCAATAAAAGTATCTTTCAATAAAAAAAATGCTGTTGGCATAACTGAATGTGAACATGTAAAATAATGCAAATAGTTCCATACTTGTTCTCATGCATAAAACTCAAGTTAAAATGGATCAAAGACCTCAACATAAATGCAGCCACACTGAAACTCATAAAAGAGAAAGTGTAAACACATAAGCACGGGAGACCACTTTCTGAATATAACACCAGTAGCACAGGCCCTGAGATTGACAATAAATGTGACCTTCTTAAACTGAGAAGCCTCTGTAAGGCAAAGGGCATAGTCAACAAGACAAAAATGGCAGTCTATAGAATGGGAAAACAATATCCCCACATATAACAGAGGACTGATCTCCAAAATATATGAAGAATTTAAGAAATTAGATATCAAATTGTCAAATAATCCAGTTAAAAATGGGATACATTCTAAACAGAGAATTTTCAAAAGAGGACCTTCAAACGTCTCAGAGGAACTTAAAGAACTGCTCAACATCCTTAACCATCAAGAAAATGTAAATCAAAATATCTCTGAGACATTATCTTACACCAGTCAGAATAGCTAGGATCAAAAACATTGATGAAACCTTATTCAAGAAAGGATGTTGAGTAAGGAGAACATTCCTCCATTGCTAGTAGGAATGCTAACTTGTAAAACAACTTTGGAAACCAGTATGACAGTTTCTCAGAAAATTTGTGAATCAATCTACATCAAGATCCAGAAATGCCACTCTTAGGCATACACCAAAAGGATGCACACTCATACTACAAGGACATTTGCTCAACTATGTTCATAACAATATTACTCACAATCACCAGATTCTGGAAACAACTTGGATGCCTCTCAACCAAAGAACGGATAAAGAAAATGTGGTACATTTACAGAATGGAATACTAATGATGTGTAAGAAACAATGATATCTTGAAATTTGCATGCAAATGGATGGAATTAGAAAAAAAAAATTCTGAGTGAGGTGACCCAGACACAGAAGGGAAAACCCAGCATGTACTCAATCATAAGTGGATAATGGACATAAAGCAAAGGATAACCAGCCTACTGTCCACAACCCCAGAAAAGTAGTAAGTAAGGAGAACACTAAGACAGATATACATGGATCTCCCCCAGGAAGGCAAAGTAGACAAGAACTCCTTAGTAAATTTGCTATGTGTGGGGGGATGATGGAGGAAGGTCATTGGTTAATTAAATAAAGAAACTGCTTGCCCTGATAGGTTAAAACATAGGTGGGAGGAGTAAACAGAAGAGGATGCTGGGAGGAAGAGGAAGTGAGCTCAGACTGGACAGCTCTGCTCTCTGGGGCAGAGACACCAGGCTCTGCTCTCCCAGGCAACTCCGACCCAGGATGGACGTAGGCTAGAATCTTCCTGGTAAGTGCACCTTGGGATGCTTACACAGATTATTAGAAATGGGCTAGTCCATGTGCGAGAGTTAGCCGAGAAGAGGCTGGATGGAATGGGCAAGCAGTGTTTAAAAGAATACAGTTTGTGTGTTGTTATTTCGGGCATAAGCTAGCCAGGTGGCTGGGGTGCTGCGGACACAGCCCCGCAGCTGCTCGCTGCTCAGATTGCAACAGGGGGAGAGAGAAGTGTGGTAGGAGAGTGGGGAGCAGAGAAGACAACATGAAGAATTGAGATGGTCAAGTTTGCTGACAGACAGAGAGGGAAAGCAAGGTATCTTGAAAGATGGAGCCAATACCAGGTTAGCAAGAAACCAGGCATTAGGGAAAGTCCCAGTAATTCACAAGGATGACCCTACCTGAGACCCTAAGTAGTAGTGGGAAGTGTACCTTAATAGTGAACCTTCATCCAGTAACTGATGGAAACATTTGCAGAGATTCACAGCTAACAATGGGATGAACTCCTGGAGTTTGTTCACAGAGAGAGAGAGAGAGAGAGAGAGAGAGAGAGAGAGAGAGAGAGAGAGAGAGAGAGAGAGAGAGAGAGAAACAATATTATGAGCAAAGAAACCAAGACCATGATGGGGAAACCACAGAAAGAGCATACCAGAGCAAGTAGGAGCTCACTGACCCAAGAATGACATCTAGGGAACCTGCATAAGATTGAACTAGGCCCTCTGAATGTGAGTGACAGCTGTGTGGCTTGGTCAGTTTGGGGTCCACTAGCAGGGGAACCAGTATTTATCCCTAGTACATGAACTGGCTCTTGGGAGCCCATTCTCTATGGAGGGAGATCTTGTTCAGCCTAGTCATGGGGGAAGGGCCTTGGTTCTGCCTCAAGTGATATGACAGACTTTGCTGACTCCTTATCAGAGGTTGCACCCTCTCTTAAGGTAGGGAGGAGGTAGGAGGTGTGGGAGGATGGGAGGGAAAGAGATCTGGTATTGGTATGTAAAATAAGATTGTTTTAAATATTAAAAAAATCAGTAGTCAGATATTAGGGTAAAAACCTGAATAATAAGGGAAGCAGAAAGAGAGAGAAAGAGAGAGAGAGAGAGAGAGAGAGAGAGAGAGAGAGAGAGAGAGAGAGAGAGCGCTATAGTCACTTCCTATCTCTTCTATTCCTCCATCCAAAAGGGACTAGATCCTCTGTCCGTACTACCTCATCACTTTCTGGATCCTCTCTGTACAGACCTCCAGACCTCTATAGTTAACTACTGGGTAGCTCTGCTATCTGTCTCTAAGCAAGTTTTAGTTGACAGAACACAAATAAAATATCACATAACACTTAATCAAGTTGACAACTATGATTATTCATCACAGTAAATAATTATAGTGTACATTTGACAAAAAAAATGATATAAAAGTTGGTAAAAGGAATACAAGGTTAAAACTAATTGGCTAACATTTTCTTACTGCTGTAATCCATAATTTTATTATATTATCTTATAATATAAAATTACTATATTGCATGACAGCATCCTCTTGATGGACTGAGCAGTCCTTGTTTTTATATAAATGTGTGAAAATTACAGACAAAAAGATTATGTATCTTACAACAAGTGGCCTAGGTAAAAATAAGTCACTTATGTCTTGAGTATACCTCATCAACTGTGGTGCAGGGGTACCCTTGAGCAAATCTATTGTACACTGAGTTACAAAGAATCTGATATAAAGAGTGTTCACTATTAAAATATGAGAGTAGGATCCCACATGAAAAGAAGGTAGGTAAATAACTGCCAAAATACTACAGCTATATTTGACATTAGTTGTTGGATAAAATTTCATAAACTGTAGAAATTTCATCCTATGCTCTTTTACAAATTGTTCTTGAGTATTTGCTAGAAATTGCTGACCATTACCAAAAGTTGGTAACTTGAAAGTTGGCAATGGAATAGGAAAGAATAGGAAATAAAATTTAGTTACAGAAAATCATAATACAAAGAAGGCTTATCCTGTCATTAAACTGCCCCGACAAAGAAGGTGCTTTAACAAAGAAGTGGAGTGGAAAGATATAAACTTTAAACAACTGGAATGGGTCTTACATGATTTCTGTTAGTAGCACCACAGTAAGGATTAACCTCATCTTGTAATGTAGACACACCAATGTTAAAAACATCCTTGGGGAGTTCTGGTGATTGAAGAGTGCCTACAAATATTTGCTGGCATTTGTAGGGAAGATCTTACACAAGCTGCCTTCTGAGGTAAGTATTTCTAAGTGATCTTCTGATGCTTATGTCCTTTCTTCCTTTGTGTTGCCTCATCATAATTCTGAGACCATAATAGGTATCCTCAAGGAGGAAAATTCACTTGGTTACTCAGGTATCTATCAGCACATCCCTAAGGTATGATAAAATATATCCGGTATATTGCTATCATATATTTTAACTTGTGATTTTCATCAAGGATTTTCAGATATTATTTTCTGCCTTTAGAAATGGGAAGGAGGGTATAGAGAAGTGTGTCAGCTTGTAAGAGCATTTACTGCTCTTACAGGGTCTTCTTGAGTTCTTAGCACTCACATGTAGCTCACAAACAAGTCTGACTTTAACTCAAAGGATTCCAATTCACATCTTTCTTCTATGATGATTCTTGTTAGCACACAGTGCAAGAAGCATTATGTATACATATTCACTCAAAAAATAATAAAGAGAGAGAGGGGGCAGGCCATTAAGGAAGCTGGAAAACAAGAATATCAGGAAAGACATTAGCTTATGGTCATGACAGGCTGCTCTTATCACAGTCTGATTCTAAGGAAAAATCCTTTATACCCCATATTGGCCACCTCTGCTTCAAAATCAGAAACTTCCAGGAAAAAAAAAAAATCCTTCTTGGACTATAGTGTCTTCTCTCTTGGGTCTCAGTGATAATAGATGAATAATCCAAACATGT